ACCTGCGGCTGCCACCGACAGGCTGCCAGAGGCGCTCGAGGGCCCCGCGGCTGAGACGGGCGCCGGCGCCGTGCGCGCCGCCGACCCTGGGACACACCGAGCAAAACCGGCGCATTAGCCACGGACCACAGCGAAAGCCCATATTCACGTGGCGAGTTCCCCCCAACTAAAGCGTCGCCAGGATTGAACGTTGCAAGCTGGGGCAATGTAATTCCGCATGGAGATCACCGGTCAAAATTTCGGCCACCCCCCTCAATTTCTTGCTTTAAGTGGCGATATAAGAAGAGCTGATGCCCAGCGCCGGCTAATATGACACGTTCACCCTCTGTAGGCGAGGCTCCGTCAACAGACAGCCACCTGCATAGGAGGGATTCCCTTCGATAAATCAGTCCCTCTAGATAGCTGGGGGCGTAAAGTGTGGGGCGTAAAGTCCCCACCTCCTCTTTCGCCGTCGACGTTTATGAAGTTACAATTTGAACAATCTGCACATAGATTCGTTTCAAATGGATTTCTCCGGGAAGAATAAGCGCTTCCTCCATTTCTGACACATAAGAAGTACTTCCGATCCGTCAGTCAAGTATTAATTGCTATTTCGCTCAGCTGAAATGACATTCACTCACAAAAAAAGCAAAACAACTAAAGCACGAAAATGCATCAACAAAAGCATGTTTTATCCAAGCCAATATTCTGAAGCAGAACATGTAGCATGAAGTACAAATATAGGTAAGCATGAAGTAGGAATACAAACATAGGAAGGAAAATCTATTTTTAACTTAACAAAGTAACATTGAAGAGCGCAACGATGAAACATAAACTGAACGTCATGAATGAAGTCCAATATTTTAAAAATTGGGTATTGTGAAATGAATTTAGTCTTCTAATGTTAAAGAACATACGAAATACTAAACAACACTCAATCGCAATTTAAATTAAAATTTATTTCATACGTAAGTCAAAAAATGTATTATAACACTTCTCTATAACAGTATTTTCATATAAATGAATTATTACCACAAACTAAATATTGCTATCAATAAAATACCCATATCGAAATTAAAATTAACAATTGTTAAAATAAACAAATATTGCAATTATTAATAGATTTCAAAATCTACGAGAGGACATAAAATACTTTTAAATAACTTTTCAATAATTATATATCTGTTAATGTAATATTCAGGCAACAAATTTTGTAAGCTTTTTAAAGTATACACACCACCAACAGAGTGGAAATTAATAACATCTTGTCTTGCAACACCACACACCTTGCCTCACACCTTCACATGATTAAAAAATACGATGAACACAGGAATCATTGTAAAACATTCTCGCAGTTTAAAACTACAATTACATCCAATGTTTATATATCCATATGTTTTAGATTCTAGGAACAAGATAACAATTACTTCACAATTATTCATTAAGACCTTCGGGGACACAAAAAAGTCTAAAATCGTTTCCCCATATAAATAAAATTAAGAGTACAGTATGCAACAATCCATAACGGAATTAAACTCAGTGTACATCAGATCATAAAGCCATTTTAATAAAACATATTTTATTTTGCTTCATTCACGTTTTATACCTTCAATACTTCAATTTTACGGATTGACCTTTACAATATTGTCCATTTTTTCAGTTCAATATTCACAGTAATTAGAGTATTGTTTTATGGAATTATTCCTTATATTTTGTTTCCGAGTGGGACCTACATTTCTCAGCAAACATTAAAAGTTTCGAAGAGTAATCACAATCGCATGGTATTTTAGCTGGAACACTTATAGACTTATGTTGAATGGCACTAGTCGACAGAACTAACAAATCAGAAACCAAAGTATAACATCGCCACACAGTTCGCCACACTAACAATATATATGGCACTAAAATCGGGAAAGTAACGATTCAGTTGCATTGTGAGATAACGTCACGTACTAACTAGTCTTCAAACTCTATCACTGGTGGTATGATGCAAATTTGTATCTGTTGAACAGTCCGTTTCGCCCCATCCTTCCCGCCTAAACGTCGTCGTTCTAGCCTTCACTCCTGGCGATCGCGAAAAAGTACCGTCTGATCTGAATGCAGAATTCTGGTGGGCTCTGCACTACTGCGTTCCCCCGACGTTTGAGCGAGAACGTCGTACAAGAAGGATCTAATCCTACACCAACCGCACCGCAATGGGCTTTTGGTGGAGATAGAGATCAATCCAGGAGGGTAAACTGACGAGCCTGTATATCCTCTACGAGACGCAGATTGCCACCCGTTTCATGTGCCTCGGTTTGGCCCTGGTGCACACCAATCACGCAACGGCATGCGGATGTGAGACGAGTGTGACGGCGGTGAGGCAGACAGCAGAGAGTGGAGCCTACACGCCTGTCTCTCCACAACAGTATCACTAGACAATCGTCTGAGATAGTGAGCGAAGACCGTTCCGCCTATACAGTTTCGTCCTATCACATCCCTCAGCAGGCCTGTGGATTGTGGGCGACATACAGGAAACTGGACATGTAGGGATCTGTACGGAACGGAGCCGTTTGACCAGCCAGAATTTTCTAGTTCTTCCCACCAACACGTATCCGAAATCTATCGCGTCTCGATGGCTTCGTGCTAGCGCAATGTCGACATCGCATGGCCACTGTCACGAGAGGGGCGAGAGGAGCCGATCCGACCCCAATTACGCAACCCGCCGTGACATGTCGATCGTGAGAACTGTACGGAAAGGAACCGTTCGACCTGTCCAAATGTTCTACAGCGAACGTCACAGACACGTATCCGAAGTCCCTTGCTCCCGCCTAGGGCATCGTAGCTCCGAGGTCACGCGAGGCGAGGGGAGGCGCCCCGCAGCCGTCCGCCCGGCCCTGGCCCTGCCCCGGCGCGGGGGCGTGTCCGAGGGGGCGTGTCTGCGCGAGGGCGTAGGCGCGCTCTGCCTGGAGCAGCGCGGCGCCGTGCAGGGCGCGCTGGTGCTTGACGAGGCCGCTGTTGAAGGCGAACGTCTTGCCGCACACGTCGCATCGGAGCGGGTCGGGCGCGTGGCGCCCGGCCGCCGCGCCTCCAGCCCACCGCCGTGCATCCCTGGACGGCTGCATCCTTGAGACTGGCCGACGGAATGCGTGAAGGCACTGCGCCTGCACGCGTGTCGCAGCGTGCGGGCGCGCCCCGCGGAAGTGCGCCAGCGCGTGGCGTGCGCAGCGTGCCGCTGTTGCGAGAAAGTACGCCCGCCACTCTGGGAGCACGTGTAGGGCCGCTCGCTTCCGTGTGGAGGCGTCGCGTAACCGCGTCAGGCTCACCGCCTTGCGTGAAGCGCTTGCCGCACTGGCGTGCCAGCGAACGGCCGCTCGCCCGCGTAGTGGAAGCGCAGGTGCGATGATGCCAGGTTGGGACGCGTGCGAGAACTTTGGCCGCAGAACGGTGGACACTGGTACGCCGACTCGCCGTGGTCGGTCACGCGCAGGTGCGGTCCGACACGGTCCGACGGCTCTCATCTGCCACGACCTAATGCGCACACGGGCACGGCGTGCCGTGCTGGGGCGCGGCGCGAAGGTGGCGCTGGCTCGGGAGGGGCCGCTGGGCGCCGCGCCGCCTGTGTGGGCTGCCAGGCGCCGGGTCGCTCTGCTAGGTACGGCTGGAACGGAAGGAACCAGCGCTGCGCAAAGGCAGCCAGTGCGGCGTCAGCTTCGTCATGGCGCTGGTGGCCGCATTCAATGTCAGATTAACGCTTCCGGAACGTTCAAGCATATGGCATAGTATGCGAAAATTGCGTCTCAGGAGCTTCGACTCAACCCATCCCCGTCCCGGCATGTGGATCGTGGGCGAGGATATAACGGAGCGAAAGGACCCGTTCGACCTGTCTGAATCTTCTGCAGTTCTTCCCATCGAACGTCAGATACGGCTCCCAAATCCCTCGCGTCTAGAATATTTCGATCTAGCGCATCGACATCATCTAGTTACTATCACGTGAGGGGGCGAGAGGAGCTGAACATGCGCAAAGGCGGGCAGGCTGCCTCAGCTCCGCATGTGCACTCAGTGGCTGGTCATCGACAAAACAGTAGAAGGACTTCCGAATCGTTCGTGCATAGTAAACGTTATGAAACAGTTTCTTTACATCAGAGATCGCCAAATCAGATCGATCGCGATCTAATAGTTCGCACGGTCACGCACAGTTAGGCTAACCTGGGAGTTGCTCCACTGAGCACACAAAGAGATGGCTCACAAAAACAGCTGCTTGCATACAAGTTTTTTTTTATTTTTATTTCGTTTGGTAGCTCACAGGAGGGTTTAAAAACTGGACGCTCACTCAGAAGCTTCATACATTTCGCGGCCGCTGTTTTAGATAGATTCATGTGTCTGGGAATGTCCACTGCATGATCATTAATACGCTCAGTGCAGAGGATGTTTAAACCTGGTAGGTGGCGGTGTTTCCACCGTCAGCTTAAAAAGCTCAGCTCCTTAAACCGTCAGCTTGTGGAGGATTTACTCCTCCGAGTATCTTGTCCAATGCTGACAAGCTGTATTGACTGATTAGTGATTCTGGGCGCAGTCCAGTTAGCCTGAACCGCTCGCCAATTTTAAGGGAAAATGAACCAACAGGTGCGTGCACAATTCCAAACATGTAATTCAGTTTTGAGCAAATATAGAAACCAAAACACTAAAAACAATGGAGAATTGTCACGCCACCGACTGTCGAGACGCCGATTAGACGAGAAAACGAAGTAGAAATGAAATGGACGTGAAAACCGTTTCGTGCGACAAAAAACCAAAGGAGTAGCTTAATGCGGCTTTACTGACGCCTAGGTACATCCATATATAGGGAGCAAATTTATATGATTTTGCGTATGCTTGTCGGTTGCCTCAGTGCTCAGTTAAGACAAATATCTTGACATTGGATTAAAATAGGTTATGTAGATTAATATCTTACTGTATATTTATACATATTCCGCCAATTTTTCCCGTTGGTGCATATTCGTATACTTGCTTGTTTGGGGAATATCAATGTTGGTTAAAATCCTGCTTAATGTTTAGATGCTAGTGTTCTTTAGACGTTTTGCTATCAAGGGCCCGCAAACCATGGATTTTGAGTACTCATGATAGAAGTAATTCATACATAAGGATAAGATTTATCCATTTTTCGTTACCAGGGCCCTGCAA